GGGGGTGGGGGAGGTCTCGGGCAGCGAGGGTCGGGATTTCCCGGGTAGCAGTTTGGCGGACATTGAGGATCAGTGGACCCGGGGTAGCAAGGATTGGGTGTGGTAGGGGGAGGGAACGGTATGGCTGGCCGGTCGTAGTTGTAGCCGTCCTCTCGTTTAGTTCGAGTTAACTCTGGTAACTCCGGAGCTGGTTCTTGAGGACCGAGCGCGTCGGTGAGGGCCTTCTTTGTCTCCCCGGAGTGCGCAACCCGTGCGAGCGCCGATGCCCACAGCACCAGCGCCTGAAAGAGAAATACGGATCCGTGCGCTGCAGTACAGAAGTAGCTTTAGCACTGCTCACACATGAACTATCTCACTGATGTATTGAGACCCCCCTCCTCTTTCTCTCTCTCTTTTGGTTCAGAATGTACAAGAGAAGTTTTCAGGAAAACTTCTCAGCGGCTCTACCTTTTCGCACCGCCACTCGGTGCGTCGGTAAAATGCAATTAAGAGAATCACCAATTTGATCATGTATGAAATTCCACGCCGCTTGCCCCTTGATATTGCCGTATGATTGCCTTCTTAGACACAACATTACAAATCCAGCTTCGGTTCGATACGAATGTAGTAATCATCTTTTTGCACTAATGCCTTTCTTCACTGTCAAATGAAACCGCTAACATGACTTTAAAAATTTAGACTGTGTTTTTTCTTTGTAATTTACGATTTCCAAGCGGTGTTGTAAATGTACGACAGCCCATTTTGTCGAGGATACGTAGTGTCGACCTTCGAACTTTAACATATTATTACAAGTAAAGCTACTAACATTTTCCGCTGAAGCGTTTGGAGCAGACTTACACGCTCTGAGAAAAACATTCTGGCTGAGCACTATACGTTTATTATCCAAATCGAAGCTTTTTGGTAGTTGCACTATGTCTGGCGCTGGGAGCTAAACGCAGCATTCCAGCCCAAGAAAATTTAGTGCACAGCACACAAACTCAATGGAAGGGCATGATCTCATTTTGTGCTGGGACAAAAAGTTGGTAGCAACAGACAAAACTTTGGTGCACGGTAGGAAATATTTTTCCCAGTGCGGTTTTATGTGTACCCGGTAAGAAAGCGAGTGACGTGCAGGCACTCTGGAAACCCAAGTGTGTACATGTATGCGTTATTTACTGAATACCTACATGTATGCAGCAAATACTGCATACATGATCATGTATGCAGCAAATAGTGTGTACATGACCATGTATGCAGCAA